CCCCAAAACCCCAAAACCCCAAAACCCCTTATGTCATTCTTTTTAAAATAGTTAAAAATTGGAAATTAAAAATACAGCTAATTAGATTTGTTCATTTAGATGAAAGCTTATTAGCAATCTTTTGAGATATAAGTCCATACCCATCCTGTGTTTTCTATTCCAAATTAAACATGTTTTTGAAAATATATAGATTGACTACAGATATTGTTGCAAAAATCATAAGGTTAAATCCTATCTTAGCAAAGATTTTTCCATTTTAAGGTTCATTTTTGAAGTATTTTTAATGGAAGTTTTCATCTTACAATGATTTGATACTTAGAACCTCTCTGGCTAATCCATTATTGAACACTTCACTTATCTATTCCTGTGTCATGAAAAGAACCTTAAGCTGATCTCTAGTTTCAAATTCAGTCATAAATATTTTAGCTTGATGCACTATAGGTGTTTACATATTTGACATTAAAGGGTTATCAGTTTGTAGAACTCCAACTAATTCATCTAATTAGAATTCCGTTTTTATGTTATAAATGTTATTGAACACCTAAGTACCATATTACTATTAGTTAGCTTTGTTGTTATACTCAATTAGATCTCCTTAAAAATAGACCTAATCATCTACAGTAAGGGGATTCTCCGATTTTTTTCTGTATTGAGGGAAATCTCGTATTAAGTATACTTTTTTCTAAGCTAGAAGTTCCTCTATGTTATTCACATCTACCAAGAGATAATCCTTGGATTAAACATTATATGTCAGCATTTTTGAGAACTATCTCTGGATTTAATTTGTAGAGCCTTGCGAAGAGGCAGTTGCTGAAGCAGAAAACGCTCTCCTGATTAAATTTAGTTTCATTTTTAATATCATAAAATTAAATAAGGGCTATAATAAATTTATTATTTAAAATTAAGAAACTATAAAGTCTTGTCATAATATACTTAAGCTCGCTTTTTGCGTGTATGCTAAAAAAGTATTGATCTATTCTCAAGGAAACTTTTGCAATTTTCTCTGAGGGTATAATGTATGGCAATTGGAGCATGGTTATAGGCATCCCATAAAGTAATTATTTTTGTAGATCGGGTACTGATTATTGTAATATTCATTCACATAAAGCTACTCACTGTCTCTTCTTTTTTCCTATTCTAATTCATCTTATTTTCTCCTTCGCTTTTCTTCTATCTATTGTTCCAGGTCTTTCAAATATTAATCATTTGAGATTTTGTATTTGTTCCTTGAATTCCTACTATGTTAAAAACCCTAAGAAATTCCATAGTTTTAAGTGAAGTCAGGTTAGCTTTACTCATCTTAAAATTAACTCTTGGTTTAATGTGTAGAATGGAGTCTGAGATATTTTTTCAGATTTTCTGAGTTGATTTAGTTTTATTCGAGTCACTCTTAAACATTTTGATGGAGATTGTTGATTCCTAAGTTTCCTAACTTACTCTCTAGGAAATCAATTTCATTCAAGAACTATTCTTCATTTTCTTATTCATGCGCTTACTCATGCTATAAGATTAGTTCATGATTGATACATTTATCACAAGTCATCCCCTTGCCTTCTTCTTCTGGCTAGCAAACTTCATAATTATAGTTACCCTCATCCTTATGCTACTCAATTTCAGGATCAATTTTCTCATTTGGGTGACTCTAACTCATGAGGCTCTTGTTAATAGTCTCTGAACCTTAATTTAAATACTACTATATCTCTAGTCTATCTATATCTTCTTAAACTTTGTGAGTTTTAAGGTCTTGTCTATTGTAACTCTTTTTCTTCTTATTACTATCAATCTGTGATTAAACATTGATTAGGGGTTTAGAAACTCTTTGATCTCTAGGCAATATCATTTGATTCTTGGATTTATTTATTTAATATCCAGACCTAATAGATTCATCTTTATTCAGGTCTTGATCCCATTTTCTGTATGTTTATTTCTGTTCAGTCACTGAATATCTCTTCTCATTTCCAAGAGGAGTGTTGTCATACAGGTCATTAGCACCCTTCTAATGCAATTTACGAGGTTCTTGATTCTGATCTTATGAATTTTGCATTTTTCCCATCCTTCTCTTATTCTCCAAATTCTTATTCAATCTTTCCCAATATTGATTCTTCTACCCCCAATCGCTTAGCCTTTAAGTTTCAGCTCTATTTTTCGTAAAAGAGTAGGGATTATGAAGGATTTGACTAGAGTAAGATGGTTAAGGAATCTTAATATTGACTCTTGATATTCTATTGGCATCAGTGATCCTAGTATTGTGAGGGTATTAATATTTAAAGCTCTAATTTTGACTAATCTGCTACTCATTAGATGTTCCTGTAGCTTCTACTAAGGAATATTATGGTTGCTATTGCTAAATATGTTAAGGGTAAGATTTTGAATCAAGAATCTAATTTTTGTTCTATTAGTCCGGAATGAGTTAAGGTCCCTTCCTGAATTGGTTTTAGTCAAATATTTTGGATTGAGGTTCTATATACTACAAATTTAAATTTCTTCTTATATCTTGATAAGGCTCTGGTCTCATAGGTCTTTGTAATTTTTATGCTGGTGTTTTCTTTTTATCTAATGGCGATAGATATGGCTGTATTTACTCATTTTGCAAGTAATTTTATTCTAAAGTTTTGCTTAGTGGCTAGGGCGTTTGATGCATTGCAATTGATGGTTTTTGAGGGCTTTTAATTTTAATAAAAGTAGGAGTATATTATAAGTTTTTATCACCTTCCTCAACTTATTTTAACGTTACTTCTTGAAGTGATTATATTTTGAATTTTTCTTCTGGCTAAAACTCCACTTGCTACTCTAATTACGACTAGTCTCTTTGTATGCAGGATAGACAACTGAACATGCTACTTTGAGAAGCTCTGCCAGATATTGAGGAAATAGGCTAGTGTGAAGCACTGAATTATTAAGATTCATCAATAGTAGGGTCATCTCTTTAAGGCTTTTTAAGAATGAAATAGGGAAGGATTTGTGATGATAAAGTTGACATTTGGTCTTAATAGAATTAATGAATCTAATTTACTTCAATTCAATTCTGGTCCTTATTCATCACTAATGGGGTTTTGGGGTTTTGGGG